AAAGAAAAGATATTGAAAGCCTTTGAAATTTCTAACTGTTTGTTTTTAATTGTAAATTATGATCACTATAATTAGCTCATTTAGTACATTTATAATGTAAACAAATATGAATATACAGAAGTTCAGTGATATATTTCAGGGCAAATAAGAGCAACTTTGTGACCCTGGGCTCTATTTATTAAGCCTTTCTTGTAGTGTTTGGCACAGCTTCATTCTTTCATAGTGTTTTTTTTCCCCCTTTTTTTCCGGAAGATAAAAGAAAGCCATACATAATACTTGCAGGTCTCTGCTGAGGTCTTAATGCATCTGGAACTACACCGAAGAAAATAAAGATAGAAATGTGGTTCTTTTGGGGGCTTCATTTAACCCTCACTCTGAAGCTTTCTTATAGCTAGAATATTTATCGTGTTAAAAAAATAAATACTACATTTTCTTAAACACTAAATTGTTAACACTGAGCAATTAGATAAACTGAAAGTGATATTATGTTTCAGGTAGACTTACCTATTTCCATAGCTAGCTATCTGCAGAAATGCAGTGTTTCTGATACCGGCTGTTCTGTTTCCTGGTGACGTACTTTGTGTAGCAACCTGGGACTGGATTTCAGAAATCTGCTCCCTTCCTGATGCACGTGCTGCCCTGCACATCACCAACTAACATGAACGGGAGCTGCCTGGCTAAGACTCCCGGCATGCTAATGGAAACACTTAATGAGTAGCAGGATGTTTTCCCCCACCAAGTTCAAAGATTAAAATTTGGGGTTTAGTCTCACCATTATTTTTATTAAAAAGGCATCTTTTGTTACATTGCCAGAGCTTGGTTATCATGCTGCGACACACTGCATCCAGTTCCGATAAGTCATGGAAAGTTATGATTAGTTAAGCTCCATATGAATAGAGAAGGCTTCCCTGAAGGTCGAAACTGGCCTCTAACATGAGATTTTAAATCATTGTTGAAGTGTTTTGACTAGGCTGCCTTTGTGTACACTAAACAGTTTAAGGTTACTTTTTAATCCAGTGGCGCCTGTTTTATGATGTACACTTGCTGTGGATTGAATGTTGTTCTGTTCATCACTGCCAGCTGTCTCCTTGGGATCCTCTAGTAACTAAGTTATTTTATCTCAGAGGAATGAATTGTCAATAACAAGCAAGTAATAACTTTTCTGCTGAATTCTCAAGATTTAAAAAAACCCTCTTCTTCTGTCATACTTCCCCTATAATGTAAAATGTATTGTGAGGGTTAGTTGCTCTATTCTTGCACTGTGAGCCATCAGGAGTTAAAATGTTCATACCATGAAATAAAGGTGTAAGAGGTACATATTGCAGCGGTGTATTCACCATATTCTGTGGATATTTTTTAGCTGAAGGAAGTAAGCCCTGATTATTACAGCTGTCACGGTGGCATCTGATATTTCAGTATCAGTGATTGCCTCACCCACAACATGACCCTGATCACTACTGTGATTCTCTGTCCACTATTAAACTGTGAAAGGTCTTGGCCCTCCAGGTGCTGTTTCAAGTCTGAAATATCAACTTGTCTGTCATACTCTCTCTGCCTAACTTAATGCTTAAGGACCCAGCAAAAATGTTTAATGTAGACAGGGTCTCATACAGCAACAAAGCAAAGAACACGTCTTATGTCTATTTTCATGGCTGATGCAGAACAAGAGCACTTGTTAATAAATAATTAGTTATTAAAAATTATCAAACTTTGTGGCTTAAATCTCAATAATTACATCTTTTTGCATTTCATTTCTCCTTTTGTTTTTTGCATTTCATTTCTACTTTTGGGGAACACGCTTCTTGAAAGTCCTGAGAGGTATCTTGAGATTTCACACAGGAATGGGGACATACAATAAGGTGATAATTTTCATGAGTCAAAACTGAAAAATTCCAAAGTATTGTTATACAAAATTTCAGATCCAAAGCAGATCTTTTTACTGAATTTTTGGTTTTCTTTCAACAGCACGGAAAAACAAGCAAACAAGAAGAAATTGCTCATGGAAATCTAGTTAAAAAACCTAGATCTATAAACCAAACTCGAGAATTGTATAGTTGAAATTAATAGAACTTCTTATGATGCACATTTTTCTCTCTTTAGTAAGTACCTTACTTGTGGTAAGATTAATTTAAAAGCTGGTTAACCTAAGCAACATGAAAGACTTAGGCAGTAGACTTTTCTATGAAAATAGATAAGGCCCATCAGATCTCCCTAATTTTTAGGAATAAAGTATTGGGAAAGATTCTGTACTTAAAATAACAGAGCTGGCCTAATGGGTTATTGCTCTGTACATTGTACAAGCTCTGACACAGTGGTCATCACAAATTTACAGCACTGAATGCTTATCTTTTTTAGCCTGGTACTGTTGTTAAGTTCATGTAAACTGGAATGTGGGCCTTGACAGCCAAGAACCAGGGCTCATAAATTGAAATTCAGCTGCATGTGGATTGTACCAGAAATTAAGTAGATGTAATGCCACAGTAATAAAGATGTTGGATAATGAGCTTCTGTAATTTTTTTTTGAGTGATTTTAAGTTCTTAAGTATAGTTTTACAAAAAATAATCTTTTGTTTTGATGGACATGCTTGTGAGCATCTGACCTGCACTTCCTCCCCTAATGCAGAGGGAAAGGTACTTTTGTGCAGAGTGCTTCTGGCCACCTTTGCTAAGGTAGTGATGAGTTTCTTACAGTGACCCCCATGAACAGTATCTCTAACACAGCTGCTGCATGTTATATTGGAAAATATTTTTCTTCGAAAAAAGAACTATCTGTGCTTTCATACCCTTTGTGGTATATTCCGGTTTACAGTTGCAAACACCATTTTTTATGGCATGAAAGGTCCTCTTGTCATGTTTTGTCAGAAGCATATCATAATTTCTAATTATATATATGTATATATGCATACAGAGTGTATATTATACATATTTTAAAAAGTGTGACTTCGTATCTCATGTTAAGATAAGAAAAGGCCATCCTTTAAAAATAACACCGTACAAAATTTTATTTAGTTGTAAACTAAAGTTATGAAGTTATATATGTGAAGTTAAAAGGTCATAAATGCAGTTCTGCTTATCTTTGTGGAAAACCAGATCAGAAATTCTTAGCAGAGTACTTTTAGAAGGGTTCCATCATGACTATGAAGATGGAAAGCAAGATAGACAAGGATTTAAAGCTAATGTGAAGAGGCAAAGAGAAAAGGGAGGGTATGTGTTGCTGAGAGAAAACCTTAAAAACAAATGTAAAAAGTGGGAAAGTTAAGGTGTGTCCACTCTGGGCACATCTGACATTAACTTGTAACAGGTGGGGCTTTGCTGTCTGTTAAATGAAAAACTACAACTCTGTTGAGTAAGGTACACAGACCAAACCAACTGGACTGGAAAAAAAAACCAAAACCTTGCCCCTCTGTGGAATATCCATAGTGGCTGAATGTTCTCCATGATCCTTTTGATCTCTGGATCTGCACTGTTACTTTACTGTAATCACAGATGTCACACAACCAGAATTTATTTGGGCTAGAGATGGGATTATGTGGTCTACCAATCCTCCCAAATCCTAAAATTTAAGGAGAAAAAACCACTGGTTCATTTTTGTTTTCTTTTAAAACAAAATTAGTTGCTAAAATTTGTCAGTCATTTGTCTGTAGACAAACTATGGATTTGATGCTGCCATTGGCAGTTTCAGGATGAAAGGCTTTGAGTGTTGTGCTCTCTGGAGTATGACTCTGTGCAGATTTATATGTAATAATTGCTAATAATCCTGATAATCCCCTAAGGAAAAATGCTGTAGGTGGAAAGCCACAGATAGAGTCATTATAATAAAGAGTGACTCGTTCCTTGCACCCATCTTGTAATAAAATAATTAATTCCCATTTTTTTTCAAGGGCAATGAAGAGATTTCTGGAGAGACTTCTTTCACACCAACCCTATCTGCCCATCTGAAAGGCCCCAAAAATTAAGAGTGGAAGAATGAATAGGCCTCTACCCTGATTCAAGAAGCAAATATGATTTATTGACATCAGGCCTTCTGTCTCTCCTTCAGTTTTTCTTAACCCTAATTTTCCTGGCCTTTTGTATTTTCATAAGCCAGTAGAGTGTGTGGTAAAGTGTAGTATTCATAGCTTGGTAGATGACATTTTACCAGAAATTTTTCAGAAAACCTCATTCTCACAGGATATGTTGCCAAATATGTATTGTTTTTATATTCCTAAATTCACTTTTTAAAAAAGTGCACAAAGCTCTGTCTGTGTTTATATACGGCTTTAAAAGAACAGCAGTCAAAACGAACAGCATTCCATGATCATTTAGTCTTCAGACCCAATAACAAAATCCTTATTCACTTATACAAGTGCATCTCTGTCCAGTGGTTTGTCCCATACGCAGAATGTGCCTGCAGCTCTTGGCACCATGGAGGGTGGAGAAAGAAATATTTCTCATTGGCTGGGAAGGCTCTGTGCAGATGAAGTAATGTAATCCCGAACTGTGCACTCAGATTTTTTCAATAAATGTTTTTCGTCACTACAGAGCTTTATATAACAGCAGTAAAGGCAAGAAAGGAAATTAGAAACACAGCTGAGACTGCATCTCATACTTCATAATGGCCTAAAATTCTTACTGTTTATTAAAACTAACACCCCTTGTCAGGGTGTTGATCAAAAATTCTCCACAGTCTCTTTTCTTTGATCTTTTCATTTTACAAACCACAGATATTTGTTGCCATTTCTTTACTTAGTTTTATGTCTAAAACATTAAAACTCAAAACTGTTTTCCAGTAAAGTTGCATGATAAGGAGTAATCCTGAATTCATCAAGCCAGCAAACTCATCGCTAAACAAATTTGTCGACTCCCAGAGAAAGAAGAACACAAACAGAAATGGTCTAAGGTGGCACAAGAAAGGATGCTTTCAAAAACCTGACATGTCTGTGGTCCTCATGCTTCTACTGCTCTCCAGTACATGTGTGAGCATAACCTATTCTAATATACACATTTACCTTTTGTTTCAGCAGCTTCCTGGCTCCTGCACATGCAAACATTTGAATTTCCTGTTGGCTCAGAGGTGAGATTTATAACATTTATTAAAGTTGCTTTTCACTGTGAGTTTACTGGGCAGAAAGCCTAAGAGGGACTTTTTTTTAAGGGGCTTTAATTGCTTGAATTTACCAGAGGGGTGAACATTGTGCTTTCTTTGCAGCACCACTATCCACTAAGATTGCCAGGTGTTGAATTTCCCTAGAGGTTCCCTATTTATTGGAGGAATTCATGAAATACCCATCTATCCAGAGCTGGGGCTCCTAGCATCCCTTTCCCATTCATCATCTTGATTTTGTTTCCTTCATGGCTGCTTTTGAATTTCTTGATTGATCCTGTTCATTTCTGTCCATTGCTCTCCATAAGTGTCCTCCCTCCTCTCTTCTGAGCACCTCGACCATTGAAAATAGGTCAGACTTGCCTCAGAATTGTATGCACCTGAAAGCCTTTTGCCGTGATGTGGCTGCTGGTGCAGAGAGGCAGTTCAGTGCTGGAAGTATACCAGTGCTCTTCAGTAGGGTGGAAGAAAGATGCACAGAGGGCAGGAAAGACAGAATAAGTGGAGGGAAAGGTGAAGAGCAAAGAGGTATTTTGCAACGTTTAAAATTAAAACCCATAAATAGCCCTTTAAAATCCATGAATGGACTTCTCAACAGATGGCAGCCCTACTGTCAGGCGAGCCCAAGGCAGGCAGACCATAATTGTTAGCAAATGTATTGTTAAGGGAATTTACTAATTTACTGATGCAGCAGCCGCTTCAGTTGAAGAATAAATTGGAATATTTTGGTGCATTTCCTTTAAAAAGTCATCCACTTTTAAGTCTATGTATTAAAATGACAAAGTCTTAAATGGGGGTCTCCTTCACTAAACAAAAGGTATGCAAATTACATTTCAAGATTTATATTATGATAAAAACTGAAACACAAAAGAGACATTATCTTGCAAAAATGTAAAAGTACATTGCTTCATGAGTCTATAATGATATAATGTGATGTTGATGTAGTTAAAGATGTCAGAAGGGAGACAATGACCTTAAAAGTTTAAAGCAGACACATTAATATTGATTGATTTTTAAGAGATTGAACAGCAAGAATATATCTATATATAGCCTGGATATTGGATTGTTTGAAAATTTGAGATGAGATACAGAACATTTCAGTCTTGTAATGTTTTAGACCTAATAGCAAGAACATGCTTTAAATGCAGCCATTTGTACCACAAGAAACTGGATGACAATTTGCCTTGAATTTAGCAGACTGTAAATCTTTTTCTTGTAAAAATCACTGGTGTTTGACAAAGCTGGATGATCAGTTCTGGCATAACCACAAATGCAGGTCTGGCATATGGGACATCATGGAAGTCCTAATGTAGGGGGTTTACTTTTTTTTTTAAACCATGTTCTATACATAAGTAGATCTGCATGTAGTCTTATAACTATTTTGTACATGCAGACACAGGCACACCTTCCTATAACATATTGAGCACCGTAAAACCTCTGCACCCTTTTCCCTTGAACCAAATAATGTGACTGTTTATCCATCATGTCATTTTTTTCTTCTTACTTTTCCCCAGTAACACTTCTTGTTTAAGTAGTTTAGGCTCATCTTATACCTGTGTTTATGCAAGCAAAGTTATAAAGAAATGTGCCTCGCATTGAGGTGGAAAGTGCTAAATATTATGGTATTTTTTTGTTCCCTTGAGTCAGTTAATTTTATCATCTCAGGTTGATGAAAGTTTCATCTCTTTCACAAATGAGCTTTACTCTTAATGTAGAGACTTCCACTGGTCAGAGAAATTGAGATGTTGGACATGGTTGGCCTTTTAGACTTTTAGGGACCAGACCACAGATGCCTCAGACACAGAGTCTAAGAACTGAACTTGCAAAAATCTGCTGGCAGCAGAGAACAAGTCTGACCTGTATGAGATGGATCATCTTGCTGAGAAGAGATCCTGCAGCATTGTACAAGCTGGAGATTTTCATTCAGAATCAGACCTCATGCAACATGAGGCAGATAAACATAAGGTGTAGACCATGTTTATAAAAAGGCTTTTTTTAATATCACTTTCAAATGAATCATTAGTCTTTTGCCTTCTTCTCCCCACATATGAAATGATAGAAAATCAATATCTGAAGGAAAGAGGATATCTGGGAACCTGGAGTACAGTGTAGACATTTGCATGATGAGAATTTTTGTTTTCAAGAAGCAAAGTCAAGAAAAATTATAACATGGCCACTTTGCCTCCCAATTAATTTTTTTTTTTTTTAATGTATAACCAGAAATAGAAAAAGATGGATACTTTTGGGGAGAACTATCAAACAGCAAGGTGTCTGGGTGTTATAGCTTCATCCTATAAACCTCTACTTAGTTTCACCAATGGTAAAACTTGCTTTGAACCTCCAGTATAGGAAAATAGCCCTAACAGCCTGTTTAGTAAACCAGAAAAAGCACAGTGTCTCCAAAGGGCCTAGCCTGAGTGAGCATCCAGAATCCCAGAAAGTCAAGAAATTTGAAGGCATTCAGACTTAATTTAATTCTTTTTTACTACAAATCTAATTTCAGAGAATGATTAACAGGAGAAGAGTCATAAATAGCAAAGTCTTGATCAAGGGAGATGCTGACAGGGTACCATCTAGATAAATTAAGGAAAGAATGCTCAGGTTTCTGCGAAAGAAGACTAATGACATTAAGTCAAGATGAAATAGAAAGGAGCAGCATTGCAGGCTGAAAATCATCAAAGTCCAGCCTGCCCTGACAAGAAACCCTACAAAATTTCCTGATCTGAAAAGTAACTGGAAATGCTAAGGAATGACTTTCTATAAGTGCCAGGTCTTGAAGTTACTTAGGACTGAAAATGACCCAGGCACCAAATTTGGGTTTTGGTACCTGTCAAGACAAGTGAAGGAATGTCCTAGGAGCATCTGAAACAGCAGCTGCTAGCAGCAGTTCTACACACTAAGAATGTTTTGCACCTCCTATGCTCAGTCCTTTCACTTAAATCTGAAACACTTCCACCTGGAGGCAAGCAGACAGTGGATAAAAGGAGTCTGTGAAACCTGCAGCCGGTTTATGTAATTCAGAGAACCTGTTTACAAGAAAGCAGAAATGGCAGTCTCCTGGAAGGAGTGGTGGCCCTAGCTAAAATAATGGGGAAACTTTACAAGTAAACTGAATGTATTTGTACAAAGAGGGATTTCTCAGAAGGTTAAGATTTTTACTTTAGGTACACCAAAAAGGATTTTTAAAATGGAAATTAAAACACTGTACTTCAGTGGTTAAAAGCATACTCCCTCAAACCTAGAGTGTTTAAACCAAAATAAAACATGCTCTTTCTCAGAAAATGTTAAATTGTTGTTTAAGTATTGACTTCATCTTCTAAGAAACACTAGTATTCCTAACTAAAGGAGCAGATCTTCCACTGGAAGTCTCCTAGCTTCAGATTTAGATTATAATAGAGTAGCATTCTGCAGCCAAGCACTTAGTGTGATCGGTACTAAAACTGTATGAGATTAGCTAATGTACTTTTCTGTGATGTGCGAAGCGAATGCCAGGACACAGCATTGTACCTGACTGCAGTAGCATGAAGTTATGCTTCAACAGCGTTCTATTGTAATGTAGGATTTTGAAGTCAGGGAAGCAGTCTCTGGAGTATTGCACATCAGCAAGAAATTATTTTTGAAAGTAGACAATAAAGAAAAAGTCTGAACTGATGTTTAGAATAAATAAATGAGAGCAGCAAAACTTTCAGTATTAGTATTACACCCAGCCATATAACAATAACTAAATGAAGCATGTATTTAAAATTTGGTGAGAAGCTTTTGTACATTTTAGTTCTGTTTGGCTCAGTGGGTGTGCTGCACTTTAGACTTCAGTCTTCAGGGCTGTCAATCCAACAACTTTCACAAGCACTATATTCACTTAAAAGCTGAAAGAGAAAAATAGAAGGGGTTGATGTTAATAGCACTTAGCACTTAACATAGTTTTTTCCTTCCTGAAAATACAGTGCAAGCATGAGGTAATTAACAAGTACTTTATCTTGGAGATGCAGATGTGTATCTAAACAACCTTTAAGCAAAGAGAATACAGGCATGTAAGATCAACCTATGCTCAGTTGCACATTTTCAAGGTTAAATATTGCAGTTGCATTTATGGTATCTTTTCTCCCTGTAGTGGGTCAATAAGTCCAGCTTGTGGAAACCAACACAGTGTATTTCTGCATGCAGGGCTCCTTCTTCATTGTGTGAATAACTTACTGTAATTTCAGACTTTATATTAAGTGCCTGCTATAGGAAACCACTGGCAAGTCATACAAGGGGGTGTGTCATTTGAGTAGAGTCAAAACATGTAGTTAGGCAGCACAGACGCACCAATTATTCAAACTGCCAACAGCCTCTGTAGCAATTCTGCTGTGCCTGCTTCTCTCCATCAGCTCCAGCATCTACCCACCTTGTGTTAGGTATTCTGAATATGGCCCACAAAGTCTTGTACTCTTGAACAGATAGCTATCCATCTAATCTGCTTGCTTTGGAAGTTCAGTCTTACAAGGAGAGAACCAGGAAAGAGAGCTTCAGCTGACACTGAGAGCAGTGAAATCATTTTGAGGAGGAGAAGGGACAAAGTCTCAAACTTAACATTTCTCTAGAAACGAGGAAGAAAAGTGTTGGCAGCTATGGTGTGTTTTCAGTGTGCTTTTCTTCTGGTTAAAATAAAAGTTCAGTGGTTTTTGCAAAGCTGGAAGTAGACTCATAAGTCAATTTGATAATTAAAGAGTTCTTCCGAGCCCTTGAAGTACTAAGGGCTATCAGTGGAGATCAGCAAGGATGCAGAGCAAAGTCTACTGGGGCAATTGGCCATTTTACTCTCCTCTTCATTCTTAGGCCATTAGGACTTTAGGATGGCAAATCTGTCAATTTTGCAATTTCCTCCAGTAATAGAGTTTTGGCAGAAGCTGACGCCTGTGCTGTATTGTACTCATGCACAGTTAGGTAACCAATGCATGCTCCATTTAAGAGAGGCACAGAAAGCTTCTCAAAGTTACTGCGTTATAGTCTGGCTCTCTGTGCTGAGCTCAGCTGCTGAGAGCAGAGGAGGTGTGAAAAGGCTTGTTAATAAAAGTCTGTTTAGATTTCATTACTGTGAGCAGCCAAATCAAGACAATACAGATCTTGCCAACCCTCTGAGAATTTCAGTCCTCTCTGGAAATACTTTCTTTCCTGCACTGAGTACCTTTTCCAGTTGAATCTTTATGCAATGCAAAGGGAGTTCTCTTCTGCTGCCTTTGAAAAATAAGGAGAGCAGAGACTCCTTTCCAATTGTAGAGTATTGAGTGGGAAGGAGGAAAGAAGGGAGTGTGGTGGTATGGCTCGTTTCTCCTACTCACATACACTGAAGAAAAAGCATCTAGCTCAGACTTTCGTTTTTCTCCCTTTGGTTTTTAATACTAGAAAGGGGAACTCATTTGAGTTGCCAGAGGAACAAAGGTGTTTGACATGGAGGATGGACTAGATGTGGCAATCTGGCAGACTGTTTTGGCAGAAATGATGAAAGCATTGGGAAAGGGCATATCTAACTGATTGGTCCATGGGATAGGCAATTATAGGTTGGTTGTGTTCATTGTTAGGGTTTAGGGAAACTATGTCTTATCAAGCTCTAGCATAGCCTTTGCATTGTGCCAAAAATATCTTCTTGGCTAGATCTAGAGAAGTGTCCTACCAAGGCTAACTGGAGGATTCAGTGAACCATGAAGAACTTAGAAAAATACTCATTTCTTCTTCAGCATAGCTCTGGCCTCTGAGCAGTGAAATGACTGAAAGAATACTGTAGCTACAGAGGTATCTTTGGCTACATGACCAGACTTTAATGAATTTGAGGACTTCAGGGATGTTTTTCAGATCACCATGAAAGAAAAATCCTAACCTGTGGCAGACTTGGCATGTGGTGTGGACAGGCCTTTTTTTCCCCCAGAAGATTAAATTTCTCCACTTTAAACACTGTGATTTCCTTTGTTGTGGTCTTTTTAATGTTCTGCAAGTTTTACTTGGATATTTATTGAAGTTTTTAATGCTTGAGTCTTGGTGAAAGCAGATACAGGTCTCCTAACCATAAATGCTGCTCTCCTCTCTGTATTGACATAAACAATCACCTGAATATACTGAATATATACATGCAGATGTCAAAACCTAGCTAGCAATAAATGACATGAAATAGTTGGTGGGTCAGTCCTGTTTACCATATATTCCACTGTGTTACACTTGTATTATAAATTCAAAGTAAATTATAAAGATTAGTAAAATCACTTTTTTTTTTCCACTTGTCCACTTGTATCTCCTAAATAAGTCTCAAATTTTACATGATTAATGACCTAACTTGATCAAAAGCAAAATTCTTCAGAGAATATGTTTAAATAGCACATTGCCATACATATATTTTGCATCATTACTGAGTGATAACATAATACAGTTAATGACTACCTTTCTCCCTAGTATAACTTTTTTGTCATCAGGAGTAGAATCTAGTCCTTTTCATCTTGTGTGATGTCATGGCTTTTGGTGTTATGTTCAATGCTTGCAGTACCTAGCCCCATCAGAAGATGCAGAAAGGTGATATTTCACTTATTCCATCACTGAAATCCCTGCTGTAGAGTTACTTAACAAAAACATTATGTTATATGAAGTGTTCAGCGGTGTAGTCATTGAAGTCAATATGACTTTCACAATTCATTTCAATCAGAAGAGAACTGTGTTGACTGTGACTGTGTCACCCCAGTAAAAGATGAACACTGTGCCCTTTTAAGTAATGTATTGCACCTATATTTTTAAGAGATCACTTGTTAAAAATGCCCTGGAAAAGGAGGGGAAGAGAGATGTGCCTGTTATTGCAAAACTTACTTTCTGAATTCTGTTTCTGCTTGCAAGAGAAAAATGCAGAATGTAAGGTGTGTGCTGTATATTAATATTTATTTGAACTGTCTTCTGATACATTGCCTTTCTGATGCTACATGGTGTTCTCCAGCACTGTTTCCTAGGATAATAGCTAATGTCCTGCTCTGAAAATTATCCATTAAAATTTTATCAATTTTTTGTTTTGGTGAGACAGTATGAGGAAATGCCATTGGAAAATTAGATTCCTCTTTGACATCAGGCGCCCAGTCAGCAATCCAATCCCATGTGTTTCTACTGAGACATTAGGATTTGATATAATTTTGGGCAGAAAACATTTTAAAATGAAACAATTGAATTTTCTAGATGGTCTTGGGGACCATTTAGCTTAAGAGAATACACTTCCAAATCAAAAGCTTTTCAATCATTCTAAATATTATTTGGATGATATTTGCTTTATGTGTAGTAGCAGTTTGAATTTGTATTGAATGTTTGACTGGCTCGTGCTCACATAGATGATGTATGAAATTATTATTTCATATTTTTCTAGTGTTTGCATTGCAAGTGACATCTGGCTGACAGGAACTTGGAGAAATAGGATACAAAGTGAATGCTGCAGTTACCACAGTATCGTATTTATCAAAAGGCTTAAGGTTGGTCTGTCTTTGTTTAACATATGAAATTCACAGCAATAAATAAGAAACAGCACTATTTTTTTTAACTGAGCTGCTTAGAAAATGAAGATAGATGAAGAAAAAATGTTAATGGTATTCTATATTCTGTTCATTGAATTAATTTATGTAGACAAGCATGCATACTGGCTGAAAGGCAGTTCCCAACTTGTTTGAAGGGGGGGGGGGGTTGCTGTTATACCTTTAAATTTTGGTTAATGTTATATAATTCATGTACACTATATCACAGAGATAGGGAAGTCTGGAATAAGCTACTATAGCAAACTGGCACAGTTGTTTTTAAACTTAAGGTGTCGAGCTACACAAGTCTAAGGGTGGGTTTCATCCTAATTGTATTATAACTTTAAAATGTACCTATTGAAATACTGTCTTCAACCAAACTCTTACCCTAGCACTTTTTCATTAAGCTCTTGATGAGGCACTTGTCTAATGGTAAATTGTATCTTGACAGAATATAGTACAGGTTTTACAAATGATAATATTATTTTACAGTTTAAAATGTGGTCTGAAAATTTATGATTTTCTTAAGAAATATGACTTCAGCCTTTTAAAAATGCATTTTCAGATTCCATGTTGTTTTGGAGGATGTTCTGCCATAGTGTTATGAAACAATGACAAAAGTGATACAGTGAAGCGTCCAGCTTCTGGATGCCCTGGCAGGGGAGATGAATTGACTGTACTACTCTGGCTAGAAGGGTCTCTTGGACACTCTTTGTCACTATCTTGATATCATTCACCCTTACTGGTTATTAAGACTGTGGACTCTGTGTGGAGAAAACCCACCCCTACAGAACTGCCCCATTATTTCCCAGCTATCCTGGGAAGGAAGAAAACTGGGGGCTGTCACACTTAGGGACGTGGAGTTCGTAAGACTAAGGCAAGAAGAGATTATCTGGAGATGGTGGGGTGGGTAGAACAGACTAGGAGGGGAAAAGTCTGCCTAAGAAAGACAGAGAGATGTAATCCAAAGACTAAGTAATCCAAAAATAGTCACATCTATACTGCTGCCAAGTGATTTTCTGATCTACAGAGTTACCAAGCTGAGAGCACTCAACATCTTCCAGGTCTTGCACCCTTCCTTTTAAACAAATAGAAAATCCAGCTTTGTGGTCCCATTCACAGGAAGAAAGAACTAACAGTGATTTTTCTTTAGGTCTGCAATTGCAAGGACTAGTTGGGAAACTTAAAACAAAAAACTCCAAAACAAACAAACAAACAAACAAAAAAAGTGTGGCAAGGAAACACTTGTAAGTCGTTCAAAGAGGAAAATTCTGTTCCCCTAAGTGAACCTCAAGAGGAGCCCATCTATCTACTGATGATGTAGGGAATTTGCCTGTCCTCCTTTGTTAGACATTGTCAGTATGATTACCCTTCTCTCTACTTCTCTCCCTGCTTTTGCAAACATCTCCAGTCAATAAAGGGACTTATCCATTGCCATACTTACCTTTCCTAGCAGTCATGAACTTTATTTTCTTTTTTTAATAGGTGAAAAAAAGCTCTTTTTTGCAGACAAAGGGTCTTCTTTGCAGACAAACGAACAAAGAATACTGAGATATTCGTCACTTCAGACCAGCAAAGAAGAGTATCAGATTAGAGCATTCACAGCTATATGTGTTCTGAGTGGAGCAATGACAGGAACAGAACTGATCAGAAAAGCAAAAGGGATGATACCGTAGCACAGTCAGCCACTGAGACTGTTTTCTGAAGCATTGCATAGTAGTTCTTTCAACAGTTCTTTAACCATGGAGAATGCTATATATGATTCATTGGAATATGCTTTCCACTTTTAAATGAAGATCAAAGTATTTACCTTGCATTGGCTTAGGATGTAGTGGCAAAGAACTTCTCATGCAGGAAACACTAGTTACCTTATCACTTAAAAAAATATATACAGTAGGTTCTTTTGGAGCCTTTTTGAATGAGTCCTATTCACTGTTGCAATTAGCATGTGCTCTGATGTTTTGCTATAGATGGAGTATTATATAACATAGTCCACTTACCTGTTTTCCATGTTGTCTTATACTCTTTTGAACATGAAACCTTTTCTTGGGTTCCTCTAAAGCTCACTGATCACTGATGTCAGTTATTCCTAAAATGTATTCTTTTGTCCTTCTGCAATGAATATCTCCAAACTCTCTCTTTCAGTTGAGGTGGGTCAGTCCCCATGTCTCCAACCTTTACTCTGTGTGTCTTTTCTTACTAACAGAATGATTCACATATGAAGAATCTTGAACTACTTTTAAGTAAGTCCGCAAGGGCTACCACCTCCTGTTGAGCTAAAATCACATAGGTATTTTTTCACTGTGTTTGTTTTATTGTGTGTTGTATGCTTTTTTGTATTGTATTATGCTAGATAGCACTTCTATCTCTACTTTGTGATATACAAAACAAAGTTGTTCTAGTTTCTTAGAAAATGTTATTTATGCTTTATGATAATGTATATTACACTTGTATTTGTCTACTTTTCTGTCTACCTAGCCACACATTCAGATTTTATCAGCTTCTAGTTAAGATTGCTGGACTTCCTGTATGCCAACACAAACAAAAACCAAGGAAATAAGTAGTTAAGACATTCAGCACACCATTCGCACTACTCTCATCGGCTCTCTTTCTCAGTCTCAACTCCCTCACTTCTAACATCCACAGTCTACAAATTTCCAGCTTCATCCTGATTATATTAGTTTTCTCCTGTTTACTATTCAAGGCAATATTTCTTTGGCCAGATGCATGGTTTTACACTTTCTGTCTTGAGTATTTCCACTCCAAACAAAGTTAAAAAATTAAAAATTTTTAAAAGTCTGTAGATCTATTTGCTATACACTGCAGGTTCTAAGAGTGAAGGAAAACTACCTAGCTGTAGAACTGACAAAGATAAGGCTGGAACCATATGATCTGCATTCTTTATGTTGAGATATTTTGGTAGAAGTTTTCGGGATGAAATTTTCAGAAGTGCTGATAGAACGGACTTTCAAAGCTATGTAGGGGCTGAAAAGTCTGGTGCGCAATCGATAATATTTTTAATACTTTTATTTCATACTTCTATTATTTCATAATTAGAAATCTGTCACTAAACTTAGACACAATATTCTTCATTGTACTTACTGTTTTCTGGCTGGTTTAGTCTTTCAGGCCTGTACCTCACTTTATTTAGCATTATGATGATACCTATCTAGTCCAATCAGCCAGTGTCTTACTCCACCTTCAGTATAAGATTTCAGTTTCTCTTTACAAATTTAGTATGGTCATTTATGCTTGATGTAATATTGGAATTTTTATCAAAGCAATGGATCATCTTTTTAAAAGCCAAGGGTCTGGGAAACACTTTACTGCATTCTTTAATATTGTCTTTTGTGTGTAGAGTAGTGAAGCCATGCTGCTTCTCAATAGTTTGCATTTACAGTCTGTTTCACAGAACGAGGATAGGTCAGACTTCCTCTATTGCTCTTTTGAACCTGTGGGGAAAGTTGGATTGGTCAAAGGTCTAATCCCTTTGAAAGTCAGATCTTGGCGCTTTCTTCTGTGTGGGTGAAGATGAAAGTGAATGAATGACACTCAATATAAAGAACAATTCCTTTTCAAGAGAGGACTAGTAGCACCTACATGTACAGATATTCTATAGAAACTGAGTTCTCTAGATGATGTTAATATCAGTTGAAGTACTTGCAAGTGAATTTTGAGGCATTTTTTAGGAGTGATGTATATATATAGTAAGAGGCAGAGAAAAAGTATTCACTTTTAATTTAAAGACTGAAACTAGTATTAGCTGTGATAGACTGAGTAACTGCCTGAGATCTTTCAGTACAATAGCAGACACTGAGTATATTTTTTTTAAAGTTTGGTTGGCACAAGGCAGCAAGAAGTAGAAAAAAAAAAAGCATATGGACATAAGCACACAGACAAAGCCATGAACCTGAGATTTTTTTCCCTTCACCCTTTTCTTTCCCCTTTTGTTTTCAGTTCTTGCCTCTAGAAGAGTCTTCAGATAAACAGCAATCCTGAGGCATGGTACCATGGCGACAAAAGCTCTCTAAAGAGGTTGAAATGGAATAGAAAGGGGAGATCCCATAGGGCTGCTCATACAATGCTGATAAATAAAGTCATATTTTGTAGTTCACACTTTGTGTTCTCACATTTAGAAAAAGTATAATTGAGACCAATTCCCTAACTGACAAGAGTCCATTTAAAGCTGAATTACAATTGAAAATAAAACATTTTAAAGAAAACTAGTCTTTCTTTGTTATTAACTTTGTTTTCTCAGTTATGCCAAAGGCAGTACAAAGATGTAGAGAGGGGAAGAAGGAAAAATTACTCTCAGCTCCAGGAAAAAAACCCACAAAAACTATTCTGCCAAATGAAGACCCCAAAGTACAGGCACTGAGAAGAATTTGAGACTTACAATACTTGGGTTTCCTTTGCCATGCTGTCTCATATCAGACACTCAGGGTCCAGTTCTCAACCACTTTAAACCTCAGTTGTAGCACTCATTTTCCTTCAGCTTACCTTCACAAAGTTTCAGAGTAGTTTAGAGAAGAATGTTGCCTGCTTGAAACATTACTTTCCCCAATGACAATACACTAATGTATTAGAAGATATTTGCTTTCCTACATTAAAAGAGTTTCAGTTCTTGTCCATGGACATCCTAGGCTGGAGAAAAACGTATGGAAAGACTTCAAAAAGCCATTTATACCCCTCTGTTATGGCTAAATGTTGTTATGACACATCTGAAGATACTGTTGGTGATTGATTTTGGTCGAATCATTTTAACTTTTTGGTGGAATATTTGTTTCTTCTCCTCTCTATATTAACTTTCTAAGGTTTGAGTTCTGTATTCTAATTGTTGTGGTCCTCTTTTTTTTTTTTTTTAATGGCTTTGGTCCATATTAATCAAATTATAGAATTTTTTTGTGGAATAAACACACCCTGCCTACTCTGCAGGTGATCACATGGCACTCAAAGCAGAA